TTTGGTGTAGAATGATGGCCGGATTTGTTTCGAAAATATACGGTTGGATTTTTTTTGTAGAATGACGGTCGGATTAGTTTTGAAAATATACGGTCTGTCTGGATTTTGTATATACATGGTAGGAAGCGCAATTGTTATTATAATCTTTCGCATTGTAAGATTCCGTGTGCACAACGCGATTGCGTCCGATAACCACGAAACTTAAAAGACAACACTTGTCTCCAAAACCACAAGCTGCGGTGCGCGCGTCCTACATCGCGTCGCGCGCTCTGTCGCGCGTCTGTTTTACAGAGACCGTCTTCAAAAAGTTTTCTCAAAACATGCGCTCCGCCGCTCGATTATTGGTTATAATGTAAATGTATAACGCGTCGTATGAAGACTGTACGAAACATGATCATTGTACGCGCGCTTTACAACGCGTGGTACGCCAGATTTAATATCAAAACAAACATTATTCACAACGGTCTTTGCGCAACCACAACTTTATTAGCCGTCAGATTTGTATATGGTCGGATTTTTTTTCTTTCTAAAGACAAAGTAATAAATGCATTGTCGGACAAAGAAAAGAACACAACCGGTTGGTCGGGTTAGAGTCTTTTAACAAATCAAATGTGTAAATGGTCGGTCGTCAACAACGTATAAAAGCAAACTAGCACTTATGCGATCAAGAACACAACGCGACTTTCATCTGAGCAGACAAAATGTCTTCTCCGCACAAGACAACGTTACTGTTGTGCTGCTGGATATTATCGTTCTTGTGTGGTCACGGGATAACACCACCAGCACGACACTCAATTGTCTCGTCGTCGCATGAACCCGACGATGTGGTTGCTTCGCCGCCTCCGGGTGGAATTCTACTGAAGCCGGTTATGAAAATTGAATGTCCTGACCACGATCCTCATTGGTTCATCGCGACCTCGTGGTACAATGTCCAATCTGACACTGGAGGTTTATTGGGGCTGTACCGCATCTCCGACGGAAACAAAGTTGTCTCACCGTACAAGCACAACGGACAATGCTCTTATAATTCGTGCGGAAAACTGTAATCACGTGAAACTGTACAGATGCGAAAGGTCAGCACACGTGCGTCAAAGGAACGAAGAGTATAACTTTTCTGTGACTAACTGTACCGTCGCGAAGACCCCGACGGACCATGGGGATAAACAAAAATGCCGCCGTTTGCCCGTCGGAAACTCGGCTGCTAGTGCCAGCCCGCGTTCCATTTGTGGGTTCGCATTAGCAACTGTAGCTCGATATGTGTACAGCCTATAAGAGGCCGCTGCCATGGTCTCTCCATTGGTTATTGCATTGTGATTATGTGCAATGATCAAACAAAAATAAAAATGTGTGTCTATACTGTCTTGTTTATAAACAAAAACAACATTTGTCTGGTTTATAATAAAAAAAATACATAAACCATTTCATACATTGTATTTTTTTTTATAAAAAATTAAACAAAAGACACAAGGTGTGCTGATCTCATGGACATGTTTATTTCAATTCGGGCGGTAACAATTTAATATATTTGCGATCGTACACACTGATAATCTCGCGAAATATGCGTACGAGTTCATGTACACAATCCGCCTTTCTACGACGAGAACCATGCTCATCATTCYTTAGCGTTTTCACGTTAAGAATGGCCGCGCATTGATCCTCATAGTCTTCGTTGTTGKTGGAAAAAACGGGCTCGAATGTAAAWCACACGCCTTCTTTGCCCGCGTGTGCGTCTATTTCGAGCTTGATAAACCAACGACCGGTTTCGGGCAAAGAAGGACCGGTCCTTTCGGAGGTACGCTTCCTTTCGCGCACGACCTTGAGCGCATGATTGTGTATACAAGCTAACATTTCACAATTGTCTACAGCTTCATCGGTCAACTTCGAGACCGTTTCCCATTCCGGTGAGTTTCGATTGAACACACTGTTGACAGCGGCGATTTGGACGTCGTATCTGTCGCCGTCGAGCAGCGGTGTTATATAAGACTCGTAATCTTCATCGTAAGTTCTAACCAAACCGCGAATGGTCATTGTAAAAATGTACRACCACGAACCCTTCGCGTCGGATCGTGCGCTATACTCTGCCATTGCGGATTTCCGAGGTTGATAAGTGCAGTGGAGGAGTTATTGTAAATACGATATAATCGCGAGGGAGTGTAAAATGTGTTTTTTTTAACGGTCGGGCGAGTATGATGCTGATATTGCAATAAACCTATTATCGTACATGTTAAGGATGTCAACAAGTGTTTTCTTAATGACTCGCTCATAGTCCGATTGCCGAAACGATACCCCTCGGTTGCTATTCTTTTCATTTACGGCTCGAATAGCCTCGCGTTGATCACGGCCCGATTCCCCGTCGAGCAGTAAAGGTGTGACGGTGTACCTTATCTTATCGGCACCGGTCTTGGATCTAAGTACTTCGAATCAGAAAAGCCAGTAACCTGATTCGTCAGAACGAGTGTTGCGATTACGGCCTCATCGTATAACTGCGAGCTCGTCTTTATATAGTTTCGCGAGACCCTCGCATGCGTCAACGGCTTGGTCCTGTAATGTCGTTAACGTATCGTCTTCTGTATCGACAAGAACCTCGACCTGAACCGAATATCCGTCCTTGTTCTCTAGTAACGGCGTTAGCCGAAAATTATGTTTTTGGAGATTTTTCTTATTGTCAATATGCATTTCGAATCCGTATGTCCACAATAACTCATCACATTTTGTTTTTTAGAGTACATTTCCATCGCCGTAATAGTATATATATCGCAATCACACGGTGTTTGTATTATAATGACACGCACGCGTACATATGTAAATACTACATCATCAACTATTTCATACGATTCATGTCATTTGTTGTGTTTACAATGTAATAAACAATCTGAATAATACAAACAAATGTATAATAAATAATCATATTATGATAAAAGGGACAACAAGAGCAAATGGGCTTGGTTCATCGCACGAAATGCATTTATTTAATTATAATAGATAAGACAACATATATAAAAGCGTAATACATTTTTCAACAGTATTGCAATAACACAACGTGTATAGCGTATGATATCACAAGTATAGAAATATACAACGGGACACACACTTTTGCGAAGAATCGCAATTTCAGTCAGATCTAAATTGTCCGCTTATAGARAGTGGTAAAGTATCCAGAAAGACCAACAACAAACGACAGGTAACACGACGGCGATCATACACAATTTCACTTTTGAAAGTGTTGGTTCGGCTGGTTCGTCGACCTTTTCAGTAATAGAGACTGTGCAATCTATAGACGCGTAGTGCTCTCGATCCTGATACGCGTTTGAACGATCCTCTTGTATATCCACGGTCGCGTTGTGTGATGCGTTTGTACGGTGATCGAGTTCAAAATCTCCAGTTGTAGGGTCCGGTGGTGTGGTTATTATCGTATCACGTTCCAGCGGACAAGAGTAAAATTCCAGCGTTGGAATGGTTGCTTTTCTCTGCACTTGAAAATAGTCGGCCCCGGTCGCGTTTGAATTTGATGTTGTGTATTGTTTATGTGACACAGCGGTTATCGCTTGCGTGTACRCGTCGATGGCGCCCATATCCGATTTGAAGAGCCGGGAAAGTCGTACGATGGAATAGATAATGATAACATAAGTGTGCACAAATGACTTATATACTACCCACAAATGTTACCGAGTTGGTCGGAGACCAAACGCGAAACGATTAGTCGGACGAATGTATTTTACATTCATTTTAATATTTCGCGCGCATCGCGTAATATGCCGCGAGACAAATCGTTGCTCATAAAAGCGCAAAGAGTACGAGTATGAGAATATCGTGTGGTTTTAGACGAGAGCTCCTTCGAGGTCGACTCTTGTTCGAG